TTGGTCAATGACATGAGGCAAAGTATATGTGAACTGCTGTATGAAAAGTGAATTTACTCTGTAAATCTTCACCCAAATCCTAACAAAAATTAAAAAAAAAAAAAAAGCAATCTGCATAAGATATCTCTCCACTTTTTTCTTTTCCATTTCCAGAAAATAACAATTTCACCATCAGTGGTTTTATGCAGCCTCAGTCCTGCTGCAAATGTTTGCCACTTTTTAAAGCAATATAGGTGCTCTTCAGATGTCTCATAGTTACACAAACTGGTACTTTTAGACTCAGTTTCCACATTTCCACACCCAATCACAAATTTGGATGTCGTATCTATAGCATTAACAGCAAACAGTTGGCAGCAAAAACAGTATAAATTCTCACTGATGAGTGAGTAAACCATCCATGACCACAACATTTTCTCACCACTTGGCATCACCTTTTAAAACCACTCTTTTGAGAGCTGGTACATATCTTCCATTGCTTTTGCGTCTTGCCTCACTGCAACACTGAAAGTCCCATCTTTGTTCTGGAAAAAACACTTCCCTTTTGATGATTGTAACCTGAAAATGTTCTGGAACTTGTGTGTCCTAAAAAGAAACATCATAAAAATTTGCAAATCTTTCTCTTAAAATCATTAATTTCGTTTACAGTATCATAGCTAGAGTCCCTTTCAGCTCTCTCTCCATCATCCAGTTTGGCCATTTCAACTCTGCTCTTCTGCAGAATACATACTAGAATCGGGAGAATCAGCTTTATCAATTGGAGACAGATGAGCAGTGTCTTTGGATAAACCCTGGCCATCATCTGGTATTTTGACATATTGAAGAATGGATCCAGCAAGTGTTGTGAGTGATTTAAATCTTGCCTCTTTTGCTTTCCTTTGCTGGCATTCACTTGGCCTCTTTGATTTATGCATTCCACATGGCATGATGGAATATCCCTGCACAATAAAGATAAATAAATTAACAACATTTGAAAAAAGATAAAATGTCAAATGTAAATCTATTGGATATGTCAGTTCTATCAAATATAAATTTTCATGTGTGACTACTTTTTTAAATCATAATTCAAATTTAAACCCTGAAAATTTCATTAAAATCAGATGTATATTTGCAAGACAGTGATGTTTTAAAAGAAATTTTTAAAAACATTGAATTTGATTGAAGTTACATTTCTAAACATATATCAAGAAACATAGCATTTCCCCACTTCATGTTTTAGACTGTCAATTTCTTTAGTTATAGAGTTATATAATCAACAATTGTCGTACATTGTTTATTGTCAGTTTTAATTGTAAATAAAGTAATACATGTTAAATATAGTTGTAAATTGTTTAAATGTAATATTTCTTAGATTATATGAATACTAACAAATTGTTTTGTTAAATTTTTCTACATTGAACTACAGCATTATTAATTACAACATTATTAGCAACCAAGAGGAAAACTTTTTTTTTATTTCTCTCATTTTCCTTTAATTACAATTCATTTTCAAAAAAGCTATTGATACAGCTTCATAAATACTACTTATCACAATAATGTAATAAAACATCAGAAAATTTGACAAAAATCATTGACTATATAAACACCAGCTACAATAAAAACAATAATGTGTGTTGTAGTGGGTACCGAGGAAACCACTTGCTTCAGAGCATCATTGTAATTAGGTAGTAATGACAGCTTGGACTGAAAACACTAGAAGGTGTAAAAAATAAATTAGTATTGAGTTTTAACCTTGTAGGTATATTGATAAATGTAAGCTGAGCTTACAAAAAAAATATTTGTTATTATAACTAACCACAAAGATATTTTTATAAAAAATAATTAATTTCGGCTGAAACACAGCACAAGAATTCTATAGATAGGCCTTTTGGTGTCACACCTTCTGACAGTGTCACTTGGTGCAGTCCACACTATTCATAACCCCCTACTGATGCCAATGTCAACAAGGTCATAATTTCCAACTATGATCATTCTCTGTTTCCAATATTCATATTCACATTCCAATCACCAGTAATTATCAATGCATCTTGATTGCTTGTTTGATCAATTCCAGACTGCAGAAGTTGGTAAAAATCTACAATGTCTTCACCTTTGGCCTTAGAGGTTGGTGCATTAATTGGAATAACTGGTCTTCCTTATAGGTGTATGAATATTATCACTGACAGAATTGTTCTTCAGGATGAATCTTGAAATGTTCCTTTTGACAATGAATGTGATGATTTTCCTCTTCAATTTGTCATTATTGGCATAGTATATATGATTGTCTGATTGAAAATGGCCAATACCAGTCCATTTCAGTTCATTAATGCCTCGGACATCAGTCTTCAAGTGTTCCTTTTCATTTTTGATAACTTCCAGTTTTCTTACATCTGTATTTTATACATTCTATGTTCTGATTATTAATGAATGTTTGCAGCTGTTTTGTCTCATTTTTAGTCATGCCATGCAGCAAAAGAAGGTCCCAAAAGGTTTATTCCATGTCAGTAAGGCCAACTTTATTTTGAGGAAGCAACTCTTCCCCAGTCATATTTTGAATGCCTTCCAACACAGGGGGCTTATCTTCTGGTACTATATTAGATAATGATTCACTACTTTTATAAGGTTTTCACTAGCCAATTTTTTTAGAAGTAGATTGTCAAGTCCTTCTTCTTAGTCCATTTTAGTCTGGAAACTCTGCTGAAATCTGCCTACCATAGGAGAAATACTGATGACATAGCTTTCAGCATCACAGCAACATGCTAGCCACTACAATATAACAGATGAGTGGTGGTGACAGATGAGTGGTGGATAGGCTCATATTTAAATCTACCTATCAAACCCTCCAGCCACTCCCTGGAAGGAAGGTTGGGCAATCTACTTCCGTAGTGATACCACCTTGGAAACCCAAGGAGGGGTCGCTATAGGTCAGATCCCACTCAATGGCTGTGAGTTTGGTTGGTATATGTATGTATGTGTTTCAAAGTTGTATATGTCCAGTTACTTTATTGTACATATTTTCTGATGATGGCTCTACTCCCAATGTCCTATCTAGTGTGATATAGGAATTGGGAAAGAGCCTGGTCTGAAGCTGATGTTTCTTAAGTAAGAGACAGATACAGTCCTACATATCAAAAGTAGAATTGTCACTGTTTAGAAAGGACCAGTGATAACTCACAGGGAAAGCTAAGAAGTTATCCAGAATGTCTGATGCTAAAACCCAAGGCTGGAGCTAGAAGCACAATAAGGATCAGGAGTAGGAGGGTGGGTATGGTCTTACATACATGTCCTCATACATATTGTCAAATGTTCCTCTTCCTCTCCTAGGGATTGTCTTTTTGGGAAGTTTGAGTCCTGCATAGTCTTACATTGATCATTTATTACTTGACATCTGAAACTGTACTCCATCTCAGTGTTCCAAATGAAATTCTAGCTCAAACTGGGAAGCTTCTTTAGGTCTGAGGGACTCTTAACCATAAAATGACATGCATCCCTAATCACAGGAATACTGAGATTCAATGGACAAGCTGACTCCTGCATATGACCAATACTGGGATTCAGACAGTGTGGGTGGAAATCTCAGCTCTGCCATGTTCTAGACATGATCTTGCATGACTTATCAGAACTTCCTGAGTTTCAGTTTCTTCACCTGTAAAATGGAATGATAAAAATACCTTTCTTGTAGATTTTGGGAAGAAATCTTTTTTTTTTCCTTATTGAAAATTTTGGAATCTTTGTTAAAACAATAATTATAATAATAAAATCTTTTATTAAGATTCTTGACAAGAATTGTACTAAACAAACCCACTATCCATAACAACTCTTACAGATGGGTGAGTACTCAAGTTATTTTAAACATGAGGAAACAGAGTCTGATCATGTATAGGAACTGGAACCAGGTTAGAGCCAATCTGTAAACACTGTCTGAGTGCAAAGTATATTAATAAGCTCTTAACAGTGACCCTATACTTTCAACAACAGTGAGAAAAGCTTATGGGGAACAACTCTGGCTGAGTGGATGTTGTTGTTAAGTTCCATTGAGTTCATCTCCACTCACAGTAACCCCACATGACAAAGTAGAACTACCCTATAGTGTTTCCTAGACTGTAACTTAACAACTTGTCTGTTAGTTTGTCATATTGTTGTGGCATGCATATTGCTGTGATGCTGTAAGCTATGCCATCAGTATTTCAAACACCAGCAGGGTCATCTGTGGCAGACAGGTTTCAGCGGAGCTATCAGACTAAGACAGACTGGGAAGAAGGACCTGGTGAAGACTATAGAATATAGCATGGGCTGACAAAAGAATGAACAAATATGTCTCAGAAGAAGTACAGTCAGAATGCTCCTTAGAAGTGAGGATGGTGAGACTTCGACTCATTTACTTTGAATGTGTTATCAGGACATGGTGTTTCGTAAAATAAAGGGTCAGCAAAAAAGAGGAAACCCTTAACAATATGGATTCACACAGTGGCTGCAACAAAAGACTCAAACGTAGCACTGATTGTGATGATGGAACAGGACCAGGCAGTGTTTTATTGTGTTGTACACGGGGTCGTTATGAGTCAGAACTGAGTGGATGGCACCTAACAACAACAACAATCTTTATGGAAGCAGATTGCCAGGACTTTCTCCTGAGGAGATGCTGAGTGGGTTCAAACACCAGTCTTTTTTTTAGTAGGAGTGCTCTAAGCCATTGTACCACCAGGACTCCTTGGCAGAGTGAATAAATGTTTGCATATTTTATTGTTGTTGTTAGGTGCCATGAGTCGATTTCAACTCATGGTGACCTCATATACAACAAAACAAAACACTGGTCCTGAGCCACCTTCACAATCATTGCTATGCTTGAGCCCATTGTTGTAGGCACATTGTCAAACCATCTCCATGAGGTCTTCTTGTATTTCACTGTCCATCTACTTTACCGAGCATAAAGTCTTTTTCTAAGGAAAGGTTCCTCCTGATAACATATCCCACATCCAAAATAGAGAGGTGAAGTCTCCCCATCCTCACTTCCCAGGAGCATTCCAGCTATACTTCCTCCAAGAAAAATTTGTTCATTCTTCTAGCAATCCATGGTACACTTAATGTTTTATGACAATACCACAATTCAAATGCATCAATTCTGTGGTCTTCCGTATTCATTGTCCAGGTTTTACATACATATGAAGCAATTGAAAATATCACTTGGGTCAGGCATACCTTACTCTTCAATGTGACATCTTTGCTCTTTAACAGTTTAAGAGGTCGTTTGCAGCAGATTTGCCCAATGCAACATGTCCTTTGATTTCTTGACTGCTGCTTCCATGGCAATTGATTGTGCATCCAAGTAAAATGAAATCCTTGACAACTTCAATCTTTTCTCCATTTATCATGATGTTGCTTATTGATCAAGTTGTGAGGATTTTTGTTCCTTTATGTTGAGGTATAATTCATATTGAATGCTGTAGTCTTTGATCTTCATCAGTAAGTGCTTCAAGTCTCTTACCTTTCAGCAAACAAGGTGGTGTCATCTGCATATCACAAGTTGTTAATGAGTCTTCCTCCAATTCTAATGCCATATTCTTCGTCATATAGTCCAGATTCTTGGATTATTTTCTCAGCATACAGATTAAATAAGTGCAGTGAAAAGATACATTGATGCACACATTTCCTGATTTTAAACTATGCAGTATCCCCTTGTTCTATTTGAACCATTGGTCTACGTACAAGTTCCTCATAAGCATAATTAAGTGTTCTGGAGTTCCAATTATTTGTGATGTTACCCATAATTTGTTATGATCTACACACTCAAATCCCTTTGTAAGTCAATAAAACACAGATAAACAACTTTCTGGTATTCTTAGCTTTTAGCTAAGATCCATCTGACATCAACAGTGATATCCTTAGTTCCTTTTCTTCTTTTGAATCTGGCTTGAATTTATGGCATTTCCTTGTTTATGTACTGTTT